TATGGTCATTTCTTAATATCATACCATTACTACAAGAGCTATGTCATACCATGACTACACGAGTCATGTCATCATAGGATTTCATATCATCTCAACATTGCAGAGAACCGTCTCATACGGTAGAACATCTGGCTAACTCCAGAGTCTCATCCACATACTTATGCAAGGGAATTCACTCTGTGGCGAATAGGCCGTGGCAAAGGTCTTAATCACGTGGCATCATTCACATACATTTCATAACAATAGCCACATACATCTCATCATTTGCCATTTCTCATGCATAATCACATTTGTCCCATCATTTGACGTCACATCAAGGTAAATTATATCTCATTAGAAAGCTTAGAATGTATAGATTTTGTCTCCAAAAGACATCAAGTCCAAATTTGTCATGCCCCGAACCCCTCGAAGCGCGATCAACCCACGTACCGGTCAATTTTGATGCGACGTCCCAGGACGCGTCGCTGACCCAACTCCCAAAACAGAGCATAAGGCACATGCGGAAGCAATAATTACAATACCCGTACAAAACAATACACGACCAAGGGTAGCAGGAACGACGAACAATTAAAAGCCTAATAATCAAGACTTGCATTGAACTTCAAAATATATACAATTTCCACGATACACCAATACAAATCTCCAAATAAAAGCGGGTCGACGGCCACTACTAACAAAATGACTAAATGGCCAAGGGGGCAGTCTAAGGTGGGGCTACAATCAAAGGGTTACCGGCCCTGTAACATCCTGAATTTTGACCCGTTATCGGAACCAGTAAAGCGTATATTAATTCTCGTATGATTTTAGTGAGTCTCGCCCGGACTTGATCAATCACGGGATACTAACCAAATAGGAAAGGCTAAATAGGAACAGGTACGTGGACCGAGAAACCGATTGCGATTGGACACTGATTTCGAGAAATGTCGAGGGAATATCTTAAGCCAATATGGGCCGATCTTAGGAAGATAATGGATGTGATATAGTTAGTAACGTACGATTGGATCGCGGGTGATTCCGCACGACCGAAAGTACGCCTGACAAACAAATTCCAAATTTTATCCGAACGATCGCGACCCCCGGTACTAGTGATAATCTCTTACCTTCTCTCGAGATTTGAGACTATCGAGACTCGGACATTCTTAGGTCGATACGCGTAACACCTAAACAGCCACCCGTTAGTGAGAGATCCTAAGATTTTAAAAAAAACGAGCTATTTTGATCGCGATATTGAGCCGAACTCCGATATCAAAATTTCAAGGGTAATTATGACTATTTTGTAGGACGGACGTCATTTTATAGTGGCCAAGTAAGTTTGGGACAAGAACGGCTGAAAATAGGAATTTCGACAAAAAATTGGGAAAATTACGGTTTTGCCCCCGTGGGCACCGGGGCAGGATTCGGAGGCCGTTTGAGGTTATTTTTCACGGCCAAGGTCATTTTGGAGTGGCCACGTACATTTAGAGTGATTTTGGACAAAAACGGGAATTTCGGCAAAAATTGGAAAAATAATATTATTTTATTCCCGGGACTTCGCAGGCGATTTTCGAAGGCGTAGAAAGTGAATTTCGCGAATCCGACACCGTATTATGTCTCCCATGAACATATAGGACCGGTATGGACAAAAATTGAAATTTCGGTCCGGGATCGGAAAATTACGAAAATGCCCCTAGGCCATTTTAATTTATTCCGAAATTTGGATAAAATTTGGGGACTAACTAAGGTTAAGTAGACCAAACCAGACCTGGTCAGCCTTGGTTAGGGCATTTGTCCATTATACCCTTGAATTATTGGAGAGGAGTCAACCTAAGTCATTGGATTCAAGGGCAAATTGTCCAAACCCTTGGATTGTTGACACTTGGACTCCACTCACCCAAGTTTGACCACTTTTGACATGCTTCTTCTCTCTCCTCAGTCTCTCTCAGCTCACGTTCTCTCTCTCCCGAGCAGCCTCACGATCGTCCTCTTCACGCCGCTCCTCTGTCATTCTGCTCCGCCGGCCACTGTTCACGCCGGAACAGCCGCGCCGCCGGAGCTGCTGACCTCTGGCCGCCGCACAGCACCCCCTGGCACCGCCCCAGCCTCCGTCGACCAGCCCCACCCTCTGCATTGTCCGCCCCACAGCAGCTGTTCCAGGCGAGAGAGAGAGAGAGAGAGAAACGCCGCCGGTCTTCACCTCGCCGGCACCGCGCCGCCGTCCACCGCCGTGCGCCGCCCTCGTCGACCACCTCACCCTCACCGTCTCTCTCTCCATCATCCTCAGCCCGTACGCCCAGCAGCTCCTCTGTTCCGGTTGTGTGTGTGGCTGTGAACCACACCGGCGCCGCCGTGACTGCCGGCTTGCCCCCGGAGCGCCGCCGTCGATTCTCACCGCGTGTCGGTAATCGACCGCCCGCTCCCGTCGCCTCGAGTCGATTTTAGGCGAGTATAAACCCCTAAACCGTTAATTAGTTTATTTGTGCATTTTAGAGGGTAATTAGGGGGTTAATTAAGCCTAATCATGGTCTAGATATGCCTAATGTTGTGTGGGGTGATTAGGGGACCTAATTAGTGCTTAATGAAATGGTTTAGAGGTGAATTAAGGCCTAATTAGTCTGCTGCCCTGGTACTGTTCATCAGTACCGAAATTGCATAAATTTGTCTAAGTGTGGCACTAATTAAGTTCAAGTACTAATGACTTGGAAGTGGACATTTTGGGGGTTAATTAGGCTTATTTGAATCTTAATTAAGTGGATTTGGTTGTTGGGTGATTGGGGTTTAAGATTAGAGCCTAATGAGGGTGTTTAATTGTGGTTTAGTGGGCAAAATGTGTCCTCCCCTGGTACTGTTCATTGAGTACCGAATTTGTGCAATTTATCCAAGTTGAATACTTAGTTGAGTTATTGGTTGATGGCAAGGAGTTAGGCATTTTTAGAGGTTACTTAGGACTTATATAAATCCTATCTTATGACCCCGCACCAATGAGCATGAGGACTAAGTTTGATTTGCCCAAGGTGGGCCTTAGGTGCATTACATTGAATTGTAATAAATGTGCGAATCAATGTCGAGTGGATTGGGTGAGAACGGAAGTATATTGATTGTCTTGAGGATGAGTTGAATGCGTCTAAGTCGAGAATGAGTATGCTTGGTATATTAGTGTGGGCGATTAACCTTGAGTGCCTTGGCTTGTATTCATCCCTCGTGACGTTGATTGATCAATATTGGACGCATTGATGTACATGTTTGAAGTGATTTAAATTGTGGCCTTCGGGTCAGGCCTTCGGGTCGAGATAAATTGTGGCCTTCGGGTCGGGCCTTCGGGTCGAGATAGATTGTGGCCTTCGGGTCGGGCCTTCGTGTCGAGATAGATTGTGGCCTTCGGGTCGGGCCTTCGGGTCGAGATAGATTGTGGCCTTCGGGTCGGGCCTTCGGGTCGAGATAAATTGTGGCCTTCGGGTCGGGCCTTCGGGGCGGGAGAAATTGTGGCCTTCGGGTCGTGGCCTTCGGGTCGATTTAAGTGAATGTGTTTTATATTGATATTAAAAGTCTAACCTGCAGGGCAGAGTAGTGAATTGGGCTGTGGGCCCGGGTGAACTTATATTGATTATTATACTGGTTTATTTATCTGTTTATGTGTTTTATTTACCCTCTGGAGGTGCACATTAGCCTAGTTTAGGATTAGTGATTTTTACTTGCTGAGTTTTCTCACGGTTGTGGTAAAATCGACTTTTCAGATCTCCCGCCATGAACTTCGACGATGCACCGTTACGCTTTGGGATTCCCCACCATATAGAGCGTACGCTGACCGTGCACCCCGTGGGGAACGGGGAGAAGTACTATAGACACTATGCTTTAGTATGGGTAGACGTAGGCTTAGCTCACTTTGAGACTCACGAGTACCTAGCCTGGTGTTTCCGGGATCGTTTTGGAGTAGAATTCGGTCCCATCAGTCCGCCGACGCCCGTTTGTGGGAGAGGTCCGCTAGATATTCAATGTCCAGACGGTGATGTAGTAGATGTTGATATGGAGGGCAATCCTGATTCTGAGATTGAGTACGAGATTGTGGAAGAAGAGGAAGAGCACGAGGAGCTTGGTGGATTAGCTTTCGAGCCGGAGATAGTCGATCCAGCTCCAGAGCAGGTGGACGCAGAAGCCCCTGAGCCTATGGACATAGACGAGTACGAAGAACAAGACCCTGAGCCAGAGATAGAGTTGGAGGCCATGAGTTCTGAGGAGGATCAAGAGCGACTCGAGAGTTCTTCGGAGTCGTCGGGTTCTGATCCTGACTGGGTACCGTAGGTTAGATATCAGCATAGGAGTGAGGGTCGACACTTTTTGACCGTACCCCTCCGGTAGTTAGTTTGACACCCCTAGGTCACCGATCCCTTTTTGTTCGTGGCCTTTTGATGTACCTTTTTGTTTATAGATGGATAATGTATTTGGGGGTTTAATCAATCGTAATTTGTTTTCTCTTGCCACTCGTGGTTGCTTTTAAATTGTCTGGGTGTATATATATTTTTTTATTATATATACGTCGTTTCCGCATGTGGCGTGTTTTCTCTGATTTGGGTTTCGGGTCGGTGCCGTAACCTGGGAGCGTCGCGCTACTATTTCGACCTATAAGCGGGATGCTCATGCTTCGTGGGGTACGGGGCGTGACATCCCCGTCCGAAGTGGTATCAGAGCAAGGACAGCTCGGTCCATTCTGGTCGAGCCCTGGAGTGATAAGGAGGAGTGACCATGGGTAGCCATAGGGTGACCTAGTGTGCTAAGTGTACCTCCAGATTGCTTGTGTTTGAATGTTGTGGTGATTATTTGAACCAGTATTATGCAGGTGCGGCAGGATCCAAGGTAAATGTGCGAGTTCTTGGGTGAAAATTATGTGCCGTTATGCTAGCTGCATGCTGAGTGTTTCATTGTTTTTGTATTGATACCTGCCTAGGACTTAGACCGGATTGTTTGGTTTAGGTCTCTAATTCCTGGGCGGAATTATATTAGGTAGTTGAGCACTCAGATTTGGAAGGATGAGCAGCGAAGGAGGAAGTGTGAGAAGAGTCTCAAGGAGGGGCACAGGAAGAGGAACTAGAGGTGGAGGTCGTGCTCGAGTGAGAGCTGTAGAAGACCTCGAGACGGGTGTTATAGCGGCAGGAAACCCTGGAGTCAATGCTGGAGCTGCAGTAGACCCCAGAATGGAACAAGTGATTGAAACCCTAAGAGAAATAGGGAATGTCATGGGCAGACAGGCCCAAGATAGAGCAACAGTCATTGCTGAGGCTACTGGAGCTGCAGCAGCCGCTGCCATCAATGGGAATCAAGCTCAAGCCCGGCAAGCTCAAGCTCAACCAATGGTAGCAGCTAGACCAATACACCAGTTGGTGGAACAGTTTCTTAAGCTGAAACCGCCCAAGTTCACGGGCAGAGGTGACCCAGAGACCGCCCCACGTTGGGTGGAGGAGTTAGAGAAAGCATTCGACTTGTTAGGATGTACTGAGACAGAAAAAATTTCGTTGGCGACTTACCAGCTGCAAGATAATGCACACGACTGGTGGAAGGCAGTTAAGGATAGAGTATTTCCAGAAAATATGGAACAGACCTGGGCAATTTTTGTCGAGCATTTCTATGGGCAGTTTTTCTCAGAGAGTGCCCAGGAGAAGAAGATGGCGGAGTTCATGAGACTTCGTCAGGGGTCGATGACAGTAGTTCAGTACGAAGCAGAGTTCACAAGACTGTCCAGATTCACCCCAAGGATGGTTGAGAATCCGCTGGATAAAGCTCGAAGATTCCGGGATGGACTGAAGTCGGATCTTCGTACCCAGATGCTTTTACTGAATATCAAAGATTACAGAGAATTGTATGAGCGAGCCCAAACGATGGAGCGAGATCAGATGGAAAGGACAGCAGCATCGGGTTCAAGGTTTATTCAGAATCGGGACAATCGTCGCTTCGGCAAGAAGCCGATGGCTAGCAATAGACGGTTTGTTCCACTTCCGAGGAGGAATATAGGGAAACCCAGCCAGACGCCAAATAAATTCGGGGCTTGTTTTCGTTGCGGGAGTTTGGGACACCAGATAAAGGATTGTCCCCAACAACGACCTTTAGGACCCCCAGGACAACATCAGCAGCCCAGAATAGGAAATCATGCCAGCAATCCCCCACCGGCTATTCAAGGCAGACCACCTGCACAAGGACGGGTATACGCAATGGCGCGTAAGGATGCGGAGGACGCGCCAGGCGTGGTCACAGGTACCATCTCTCTCTGTGATCATGCTGCCTATGCGTTATTTGATCTCGGGGCAACCCATTCGTTTATTTCAGAACAGTTTGTTAGATTGGTTGGTCTGGAGCCTATATTACTTGCAAGCATGTTATGTGTGACGACCCCATTGCATGATAGGGTGTTAGTATCATTGGGGTGCTTGGACTGTAAAATCGTGATTGGGAATGTAGAGGAAAGGATTGATTTGGCTGTGTTAGCCATGTATAATTTCGATGTGATCATCGGTATGGATTGGCTGACGAAGCAGAAAGCCGTTATGGATTGTGGCAATAGGACAGTCAATTTAATCCGATTGGACATCCTAGGTTTGAATTTCAGGGAAACCGAGGAGGAACCTCAATCCCTTGGATCTCCTCAGTAGAGGCAACTGAGATGCTCGAAGAAGGTTGTGAGGGATATTTGGTTAATGTTAAGGATCCGACCTTAGCGGAACCCAAGTTGGAAGAAATCCCTATTGTGTGCAATTTCCCCGAGGTTTTCCCTCAGGAATTGCCAGGCTTACCGCCAGAACGGGAAGTGGAGTTCGTAATAGAATTGGCCCCAGGTACTGAACCGATTTCTAAGGCCCCATATCGGATGTCCCTATCGGAGTTAAAGGAGTTGAAAGTCCAAATGCAGGAACTGCTGGATAAAGGGTTCATTCGTCCTAGTGCGTCTCCATGGGGAGCGCCAGTCCTATTTGTAAGGAAAAAGGACGGGACGTTGAGATTATGTATAGACTATCGGCAGTTGAATCAGGTGACTATAAAGAATAAGTATCCACTGCCCAGAATTGACGACTTATTCGATCAATTGCAAGGAGCGTCAGTGTTCTCCAAGATTGATCTACGGACCGGGTATCATCAGTTAAGAATTCGGAAGGAGGATATACCCAAGACTGCATTTAGGACGAGGTATGGGCATTACGAGTTTACAGTCATGCCATTCGGTTTGACGAATGCCCCTGCAGCTTTCATGGATCTGATGAACAGAGTTTTTAAGGAATTCCTGGACCAGTTCGTCATTGTGTTCATCGACGATATTCTAGTATACTCGAAGAGTCCAGAAGAACATGAAGTGCATTTGACTGAAGTATTACGGACGTTGAGGGAGCACGCACTTTATGCGAAGTTCAGCAAATGCGAGTTCTGGCTTAGCAAGGTAGCATTCCTTGGACATATTGTATCGGGAGAAGGAATATCCGTGGATCCAACTAAGATTGAGGCAGTACTTAAGTGGCCCAGACCGACATCGGTGACGGAAATCAGGAGTTTCTTGGGATTGGCCGGTTATTATCGACGTTTCGTGGAAGGATTCTCGTCGCTAGCCATGCCATTAACGCGATTACTGAAAAAAGAGGTTAAGTTTGAATGGGATGACAAGTGTGAACGAAGCTTTCAGGAACTTAAGCACAGACTGACAACAGCTCCAGTCTTAACTATTCCATCTGGACCTGGTGGATTTGAGGTCTACAGTGATGCTTCACTCAGGGGACTCGGTTGTGTACTAATGCAGCATGGAAAAGTAGTTGCATATGCGTCACGTCAGTTGAGATCACACGAGTCGAACTATCCGACGCATGACCTAGAGTTGGCTGCCATTGTTTTTGCACTTAAAATCTGGAGACATTATTTATGTGGGGAAAAGTTCCAGATTTATACGGATCATCAGAGCCTCAAATATCTATTTTCGCAAAAAGAGCTAAATATGAGGCAGCGTAGATGGATGGAACTTCTGAAAGATTATGATTGCAACATCATGTACCACCCTGGAAAGGCGAATCGAGTGGCGGATGCGCTAAGTCGCAAATCAAGTATGGCGCATATGATGATCAAGGAGTGGACGTTATTAGAAAAGCTTCGAGACTCAGAATTTAAATTTGAATTAGGCCATGTGTCAAATCTGCTGGCTACTTTGAGAATCGAGCCGGAGATTCAGGCCAAGATTAAGGCGCTGCAGTCCACGGATCAGGAAATTCAGAAAATCATGGAAATGGATGCCGCTACAAGGAAGCCAGATTTCCAAGTATCAGAGGATGGAATCCTGAAATTTAGAGGGCGATGGTGTGTACCTGATGATACTGAGCTTAAGGAAGAGATACTAAGAGAAGCTCATCGCAGCAATTACAGTATCCACCCTGGCAGTACGAAAATGTACCAGAATCTACGCCAATATTATTGGTGGAATGGAATGAAGACGGATGTGGCCAGGTATGTGGCTAAGTGTTTGACATGTCAGCAGGTAAAGGCGCAACACTGTAAACCTGGAGGACTGCTGCGACCTTTGGAAATTCCCGAGTGGAAATGGGAACACATCACCATGGACTTTGTAACCGGATTGTCGAGGAGCCAAAGAGGGCATGATTCCATTTGGGTGATTGTAGATCGACTTACGAAGTCGGCACATTTCTTAGCTGTACGAAAGGATTTCGAGCTGGAAAGGTATGCAGAACTGTATGTGAGACAGATCGTTAGACTGCATGGAGTGCCGGTAACAATTACATCAGATCGTGACCCGAGGTTTACGGCGAATTTTTGGAAAAGTCTGCAGACGGCCTTGGGAACAAAAGTGCAGTTCAGTACAGCTTACCATCCACAGATTGACGGTCAATCAGAAAGGACGATTCAGACCCTCGAGGATATGTTAAGGGCTTGTGTATTGGACTTCCAAGGTAAATGGGAAGAACACCTGCATTTGGTAGAGTTTGCGTATAATAACAGCTATCAGCAGAGTATCCAGATGGCCCCATTTGAAGCCTTATACGGCAGAGCATGTAGGACTCCTGTGTGCTGGGATGAAGTAGGTGAACGGAGTATTACTGGCCCAGAGTTGATCCAGCAGACAGTGGAAGTTGTCAAGATTATCCGAGAAAGGCTGAAGACAGCCCAAAGTCGCCAGAAGAGCTATGCCGATCGGAGACGACGACATTTGGAATTCCAAGTTGGAGACCATGTATTCCTCAAGGTGTCACCTATGAAAGGGTTATCCCGATTTGGCAAGAAAGGGAAGCTGAGTCCGAGGTTTGTCGGACCGTTCGAGATCTTAGAAAAGATTGGCGATATGGCGTATAGGCTTGCCCTGCCACCTAACTTGTCCCAGGTACACAATGTCTTCCACGTGTCGATGTTGAGAAAGTATGAACCAGACCCGACACACGTTTTAAGATATGAAGAAATAGACGTGGACGACAGGGTGTCGTACGTGGAGAGACAAGTCAGAATTGAAGATCGGAAGGATCGAGTACTATGAAATAAGACGATTTCGATGGTCAAGGTAGTCTGGGAACACCATGGGATGGAAGGCGCTACATGGGAAAGCGAGGAGGCCATGCGACATCAACACCCCCAGTTGTTCGAGGAACAAGTTTAGAGTACAAATTTCGGGGACGAAATTTTTATAAGGGGGGAAGAGTTGTAACATCCTGAATTTTTATCCGTTATCGGAACCAGTAAAGTGTATATTAATTCTCGTGTGATTTTAGTGAGTCTCGCCCGGACTTGATCAATCACGGGATACTAACCAAATGGGAAAGGCTAAATAGGAACAGGTACGTGGACCGAGAAACCGATCGCGATTGGACACTGATTTCGAGAAACGTCGAGGGAATATCTTGAGCCAATATGGGCCGATCTTAGGAAGATAATGGATGTGATATAGTTAGTAACGTACGATTGGATCGCGGGTGATTCCGCACGACCGAAAGTACGCCTGACAAACAAATTCCAAATTTTATCCGAACGATCGCGACCCCCGGTACTAGTGATAATCTCTTACCTTCTCTCGAGATTTGAGACTATCGAGACTCGGACAGTCTTAGGTCGATACGCGTAACACCTAAACAGCCACCCGTTAGTGAGAGATTCTAAGATTTTAAAAAAACGAGCTATTTTGATCGCGATATTGAGCCGAACTCCGATATCAAAATTTCAAGGGTAATTATGACTATTTTGTAGGACGGGCGTCATTTTATAGTGGCCAAGTAAGTTTGGGACAAGAACGGCTGAAAATAGGAATTTCGACAAAAATTGGGAAAATTACGGTTTTGCCCCCGTGGGCACCGGGGCAGGATTCGGAGGCCGTTTGAGGTTATTTTTCACGGCCAAGGTCATTTTGGAGTGGCCACGTACATTTAGAGTGGTTTTGGACAAAAACGAGAATTTCGGCAAAAATTGGAAAAATAATATTATTTTATTCCCGGGACTTCGCAGGCGATTTTCAAAGGCGTAGAAAGTGAATTTCGCGAATCCGACACCGTATTATGTCTCCCATGAACATATAGGACCGGTATGGACAAAAATTGAAATTTCGGTCCGGGATCGGAAAATTACGAAAATGCCCCTAGGCCATTTTAATTTATTCCGAAATTTGGATAAAATTTGGGGACTAACTAAGGTTAAGTAGACCAAACCAGACCTGGTCAGCCTTGGTTAGGGGCATTTGTCCATTATACCCTTGAATTATTGGAGAGGAGTGAACCTAAGCCATTGGATTCAAGGGCAAATTGTCCAAACCCTTGGATTGTCGACACTTGGACTCCACTCATCCAAGTTTGACCACTTTTGACATGCTTCTTCTCTCTCCTCAGTCTCTCTCAGCTCACGTTCTCTCTCTCCCGAGCAGCCTCACGATCGTCCTCTTCACGCCGCTCCTCTGTCCTTCTGCTCCGCCGGCCACTGTTCACGCCGGAACAGCCCGCGCCGTCGGAGCCTGCTGACCTCAGGCCGCCGCACAGCACCCCCTGGCACCGCCCCAGCCTCCGTCGACCAGCCCCACCCTCTGCATTGTCCGCCCCACAGCAGCTGTTCCAGGCGAGAGAGAGAGAGAAACGCCGCCGGTCTTCACCTCGCCGGCACCGCGCCGCCGTCCACCGCCGTGCGCCGCCCTCGTCGATCACCTCACCCTCACCGTCTCTCTCTCCACCATCCTCAGCCCGTACGCCCAGCAGCTCCTCTGTTCCGGTTGTGTGTGTGGCTGTGAACCACACCGGCGCCGCCGTGACTGCCGGCTTGCCCCCGGAGCGCCGCCGTCGATTCTCACCGCGTGTCGGTAATCGACCGCCCGCTCCCGTCGCCTCGAGTCGATTTTAGGCGAGTATAAACCCCTAAACCGTTAATTAGTTTATTTGTGCATTTTAGAGGGTAATTAGGGGGTTAATTAAGCCTAATCATGGTCTAGATATGCCTAATGTTGTGTGGGGTGATTAGGGGACCTAATTAGTGCTTAATGAAATGGTTTAGAGGTGAATTAAGGCCTAATTAGTTCTGCTGCCTGGTAATCGTTCATCGCACCGAAATTGCATAAATTTGTCTAAGTGTGGCACTAATTAAGTTCAAGTACTAATGACTTGGAAGTGGACATTTTGGGGGTTAATTAGGCTTATTTGAATCTTAATTAAGTGGATTTGGTTGTTGGGTGATTGGGGTTTAAGATTAGAGCCTAATGAGGGTGTTTAATTGTGGTTTAGTGGGCAAAATGTGTCCTCCCCTGGTACTGTTCATTGAGTACCGAATTTGTGCAATTTATCCAAGTTGAATACTTAGTTGAGTCATTGGTTGATGGCAAGGAGTTAGGCATTTTTAGAGGTTACTTAGGACTTATATAAATCCTATCTTGTGACCCCGCACCAATGAGCATGAGGACTAAGTTTGATTTGCCCAAGGTGGGCCTTAGGTGCATTACATTGAATTGTAATAAATGTGCGAATCAATGTCGAGTGGATTGGGTGAGAACGGAAGTATATTGATTGTCTTGAGGATGAGTTGAATGCGTCTAAGTCGAGAATGAGTATGCTTGGTATATTAGTGTGGGCGATTAACCTTGAGTGCCTTGGCTTGTATTCATCCCTCGTGACGTTGATTGATCAATATTGGACGCATTGATGTACATGTTTGAAGTGATTTAAATTGTGGCCTTCGGGTCGGGCCTTCGGGTCGAGATAAATTGTGGCCTTCGGGTCAGGCCTTCGGGTCGAGATAGATTGTGGCCTTCGGGTCGAGATAGATTGTGGCCTTCGGGTCGGGCCTTCGTGTCAAGATAGATTGTGGCCTTCGGGTCGGGCCTTCGGGTCGAGATAGATTGTGGCCTTCGGGTCGGGCCTTCGGGTCGAGATAAATTGTGGCCTTCGGGTCGGGCCTTCGGGTCGGGAGAAATTGTGGCCTTTGGGTCGTGGCCTTCGGGTCGATTTAAGTGAATGTGTTTTATATTGATATTAAAAGTCTAACCTGCAGGGCAGAGTAGTGAATTGGGCTGTGGGCCCGGGTGAACTTATATTGATTGTTATACTGGTTTATTTATCTGTTTATGTGTTTTATTTACCCTCTGGAGGTGCACATTAGCCTAGTTTAGGATTAGTGATTTTTACTTGCTGAGTTTTCTCACGGTTGTGGTAAAACCGACTTTTCAGATCTCCCGCCATGAACTTCGACGATGCACCGTTACGCTTTGGGATTCCCCACCATATAGAGCGTACGCTGACCGTGCACCCCGTGGGGAACGGGGAGAAGTACTATAGACACTATGCTTTAGTATGGGTAGACGTAGGCTTAGCTCACTTTGAGACTCACGAGTACCTAGCCTGGTGTTTCCGGGATCGTTTTGGAGTAGAATTCGGTCCCATCAGGTCCGCCGACGTTCCGTTTGTGGGAGAGGGTCTGCTAGATATTCAATGTCCAGACGGTGATGTAGTAGATGTTGATATGGAGGGCAATCCTGATTCTGAGGTTGAGTACGAGATTGTGGAAGAAGAGGAAGAGCACGAGGAGCTTGGTGGATTAGCTTTCGAGCCGGAGATAGTCGATCCAGCTCCAGAGCAGGTGGACGCAGAAGCCCCTGAGCCTATGGACATAGACGAGTACGAAGAACAAGACCCTGAGCCAGAGATAGAGTTGGAGGCCATGAGTTCTGAGGAGGATCAAGAGCGACTCGAGAGTTCTTCGGAGCCGTCGGGTTCTGATCCTGACTGGGTACCGTAGGTTAGATATCAGCATAGGAGTGAGGGTCGACACTTTTTGACCGTACCCCTCCGGTAGTTAGTTTGACACCCCTAGGTCACCGATCCCTTTTTGTTCGTAGCCTTTTGATGTACCTTTTTGTTTATAGATGGATAATGTATTTGGGGGTTTAATCAATCGTAATTTGTTTTCTCTTGCCACTCGTGGTTGCTTTTAAATTTTCTGGGTGTATATATATATTTTTATTATATATACGTCGTTTCCGCATGTGGCGTGTTTTCTCTGATTTGGGTTTCGGGTCGGTGCCGTAACCTGGGAGCGTCGCGCTACTATTTCGACCTATAAGCGGGATGCTCATGCTTCGTGGGGTATGGGGCGTGACAGGCCCGACCTAAGGGAGACTAAGACTGATCCTAGGAAACTTAATCAGGATCGGATCCTGATGACACGGACTCAGCCTCGATTATCTCATCTTCCGAATCCTGCTGCTCGACCTCGCCAACCTGTTCGGGACTCTGCTCTATGGGCTCCGAATCCTTATATTGATCGGGTACATCAGGTATCCTCTAACAAGGGTCTGAAAAACGGGGTTTAAATAATTATGAGACGAATCTCAGTGAGTAGGCCTCCTAAACCGAAACTAGGCTAACATGCACCTCCCGACAAGCAATTAACACAACAACC